GCCTCCCAGAGTGCTAGGATTACAGGTGTGAGCCACCGCGCCCGGCCTATACCCATTTTTCTTTACACAAACTTGTGAAATTTTTAAAGTGCACGTTGCAGAAGCAATTATCCACTCAAAATTTAATTGGTGAAATTTTATTGAAACTCTTTCACTCTGACTCCCTCTTTGGGAAAACTTTACAGAGGCAGCACCAGCACATCGAAGGACGCACGAGGGCTGTCTGCCAAGTATGCAGCCATGTAATATGAAAAATGTATTAACACCGGCTAGACGCTTTCCAGACAGCCCTCGGATGTTCAATGAAGGGGAGCAGCGCATTAAATCGTGGGACCCCATCCCCGTGGAGTACGAGACAGCCGCTAAGAGAATGAGGTAGCCAGGAATGTGCCCCCCTGGGAGATGTGAGTCACTGTGATGTGAGAAGAAACCCGACCTTGGGCACATCAGAGGGCTGGGACTAGAGACAAGAGTAAAGGCTTTTCTGTTTATTTTATGCTCACTGGGGCAGACTTCTGTAATTAAATTAATAATAAAGTCCATATGAACTTAAAAAGAAACCAAAAAAACACCAGGAGTATTAGCCATAGCTAACTCTGATTTTTCTAAATTAGAGCTGACTTTTCTGCTGTCAACGCGCTTAAAATCTCAAAGACTGAATGGTTGCGAAGCCCTAATATCTTCCGGCAAAATCTGAAATGAAATTCACCTGTGCCGGGCCCTCTGTGCAGCAGGGCCCAGCGGGCCCAGCTCCGAGGCCGGGTCTGGAGACGGGAGGCGTTCCCGCTCAGCCACCGCCCAGCCGGCGGGACCCACGCGTGGCAGGCCAGGGCCCAGCACGCAGCCAGGAAGAAGGCAACTGCCGTCAGAGGGTCCACTCCCAGAGCCGAGCGCGGGCTCAGGTGCTCCCAGCTGACAGCAGCTGCGAACACCACTAACACAGCGACTTCGTCCTGGAATTCGGGAGCCTTCCCGGTTATAGCGTGAACAGCGAGGGGGCAATGCCCCACGCCAGGGCTTGGCGGCCATGTGAAAGGAAGCACTCCCTCTCACACTCAGCTCCAGGACTGAGCAACACATGCACCCTCCCTGTTCTGAGCCACTCACACCTCCCACCCGTCCTCTCACCCCACCTCTTTCAGCATAAGCAGCATCTGAAGGCCGAGAAAGGGCTCCGTCCGCCATACCTGACCCCAGGTTCCGGGAGCCTCCCCAGCCCCACAGCTGCCCCACCCCATGCCCAGTTCCACCCTCCTGCCCCCTCCAGCCTGGGCTCCTGCACACGCCCACCGCCAGCTGCCCGAGTCCTGAGCTCATTCCCACCTCCGCACTCCTGCTCAGCCCCCACCGCGTCCCCACCGCCTGGCTGGCCAGGGACCTGTGAGGGCAGCACAGGAGCAGGAAGAGCTGGTGCCCAGGGTGGTGGCCGGCACAAGCGCAGGCCGGGCCCTGGTCTGAAACGAGTGTCTTTATTGCTGGTACCGTACAAATACGAAGGACGAGGAAAGGCCAGCGGGGATGGGGGAGAATTGTCAGGTAAAGACATACACAGACAAAAAGGAAAAAGGACCCCCACCCCCCCACACCAACCCCCGCCCCACCCCACCCCATGGTGCCTTTCTGTGAACTGCCTAGTTCAGGAGGTGGGGTGGGGAGATCAAAACCACAGAAACTAAACTGCAGACACCCAGAGATGCTGGGGGGAAGGGAGGGAGGGCAGCGAGGGGCTCCCAGGTGGGGCCCCTCCCACTAAGTCCGCACCCCTCCCCCCATGGGATGAAACGCTCGGGCAAGGGGTGGGGGCCCGAGCCCACACACACCACGCACACTGAGGACACGCTGCCCTCACACACACACACCCAACGCACACGCACACCCACGTGCCTCTGTGTCCCACTGACACACAGTCCGAGGCACGTACACGTGTATCCACGGCACTGACACGGACTCGCGCTCACGTTCACCTTAAGGCTGCAGAATGTGGGGCCCTGGAGGGAGGACGGGGTGGGGTGGCCTAGGAGCCTCCTTCTCGGAGGCCCCCCACTCAATACGTACCAGAGACGCCCACCCCCGCCCCAGTCCACGGGGCCCAATACTGTCTCGGTGCGAGATGTGTAACAGCCAGGGCTCCACCCCCAGGCAGAGAGAAGGGGACGATCCCAGCCCACATGCTCCAGTGGGGCTGGGCCAGACCCAGGGTCCAGCGGGAAGTGAGGCCAGCTGGAAGCCCTGGTAAGGCACGGGGCTGCAGGGTGGGCAGGCCAGCCTCCCTCCTGCCTCGTCCACGGGGTCAGGAGAGCAGCTTGGGGGGCGAGAGGGCAGCACCCACCCCCCTGGGTCCCTTCTGGTTTCCCACGATGCAGATCCAAGGACCTGGCTCCATTCACAAGGGAGCCCTAACCCCCTGATCCCACAGTTTCCAAGGCCCCTGCCCGTCCCTGGACATTATTGCTTTTATGCCCCCATGGGGGGGCCGGGGGGTCGCACCGCCCCGAGCCAGGCCACTCCGCGCCTAGACGACAGGGCATGGAAGGCAGCACCACTGTCCACTGGGCATCGAATGGCGTCGGGCGGCTCCATCCAGCAGCAGCGGCGTGTGGGCAGGCTGCCCGCGTGGCGCCCCGGCCAGAAATGCAGGCAGGCCCCGCGGCCCCACACTTCGTGCTCTGGCCCTCGCCGGGGTTCGTGTTGATTATAAACCTGAATCTCTCCGTCCACCCGACAGCCCGGTCCCGGGGCGGGAGGCGGGCAGTCTCCCAACACTGGTCTGGGCACAAAGGTGAGGCTGGAGGCAAGGGCTGCTGGGACCGCTCAGGTGAGTCTGGGAGAGAACTGAAGAGAAACTGGAAATGGGGGCGAGGAGGCGAGGGAGGGGGACACAAACCAATAAGGCAAAATGAAAAGTTAAAAAAAAGCCACCCGGGCGGCGGATGGCAGCCATGCGTGCGTCCTGTGGCGGCGGCAGGGCTGCTCACTCGCGGATGCTGGCCGAGTAGGAGAACTGGGGGAAGTGGGTCCGCTGGTCCAGCTCCAGTGAGCCCAGGCTGTCATCTGCGGGTTGGTGGAGGCAGATTGGGGAGGATCGGCCTGCAGGGGGCCCGGGCACCCCGCCCAGACTCCCTGGGGAACCGGCCACGGGAAGAACTGCAGTGGGACCACAGGATGAACCCCCAGCCGGAGGGGGCTCCCACGAGGTTGGGGCAAAGAAGGCAGCCTCCCTCCTGACCGGCCTCTCAGCCACCGCCCCGCTCCTCAGGCTGCAGCCCTGGGCAGCCCTGTGTGCGAAGCTACCTGCGCTCTTCCGCACTGGCCCGCAGCTCGGTCACTTGGCCTTCTGAGCATCCCACCCTCCCCTCTCTCCCTCCCCTGCCCACGCCATCACCATGGCCTAGCCCGGACCCCTCCAGCCCAGTCCCTGCCCTGGCCTCCACCCTCATCCCCTCCAATCCACCCTCCACATGCAGCCAGGGGGACTTTCTAAAGCTCTGATGCAACCCTGTCCCTCTCTGCACAAAACCCTCCTATGACTCCCCACACGAAAAGTCCCCACTCCTCCCAGGGGCACCCAAAACCCTCACACTCTGGCTCCATGCTCTCTTCCCACTCCCGACCGTGCAATGCTCTAGCCCATTTCTGGCATCCCACATGCCACTGCTTCTGCCAAGAATGCATCTCAGTTGACATGTTTGTTTCCTCCTCCAGGAAGCCTTCCCTACCTGCAGGCCAGGTCAGGCATTCCCTCTGGGCTTCCCCAGTCCCTGGGCTCCTACATCCTAGCCCTGACTGCTCTGGGCTGTCAGTCACCCCACCTGGACTGGGAGCTCCCCAAGGGTGGGGACCAGGCCTGGCGCAGTCACTGCTGTGTCTCCAGCACAGCCCAGCCCTTGGCTAGATTCAGAGTAAGAACTCAAACAACTGTAAAGTCAATGAACCAACCCAGTCCCAGGGACCCAGGCCATCTGGTGCCCAGAGCTCCCCCTGAGCTCTGGAATATGCTGTAGCCAATGGCTCCTGGCGAGCCCCACCGGCTCCAAGGAGGACCCATGGCAAAAGGCCCTGCGAGTACACCTTAGGGCAAAGTGCCCAGACACAGAGAGGGTGGCCTTCAAGGGTCCTCCTAGAGAACTGGGTCAAGTGCAGACCCCACCCCTTTACCGCCCGCCATGCCCACCAGGCAAGGGGGCCCCAGATACTCACAGCGGTCTGGGGGTGTGATTGTGATAGACTGGGCAGTGAATTCATCATCAAAGTACCTCGTATCAACCTCGGATGTGACCTGAGGTTTGAAGGGTGGCAGGAGCTACGGAGGAGAGGAGCCCAGACTCAGGGACACTAAGGACAGGAGGCCTCGACCAAGGTCACCCATGAGCAGGCCCTTGGAGGCTCCTGTCGGGGGCAGGCAGTGGGGAAGAGGGGCTCACCTTCTTCTGTACCACGTCCTGCCAGTTGATGCTGAGGAAGAATCTGTGCTCCATGACCTCCTTGGCGTCGCTGGGCCCCCCGCCAAGCCTGGGCAGAGACGGCTGTCAGCACCCACCTCCCAGAGCAGCCAGGTTCTGGGGGACAGGCTTTTGGCGCAGGCAGGCCTGAGCCTGCGACATGTGGGCCCTGCACAGCCTTTAACGATTCTGTCTTGGTCACAAACCACTGCTTCACAGAGAAGCCTCGTGCCTGCGTCAGAGCCAGGGAGACTGCAACCTCCCGAGGGCTCACGGCCTGCCCGCACCCCAAGACCAGAAAGGGAGTTGGCAGGGCAGGCTCGGCAGCAGGCCCGTTCACGTCCCGGCTCTGCCACGTGCAGTTGGTGATCCCAGGTCAGGCACGGGGCCTGCCCTGTTCCGCATCCCCACTAAACAAGGCGGTGCAGGCAGAGTGCGGGCCTGGCCCCAAAGGACTGCTGAGTGCTGGCTGTGGGCATTGTCGGGCTGCGTGGGGGACAACACACACTGGCGTGAACCCACGAGGGAGTGCACCAGTGCACCAGACCCCGCCAGGCTGAGGCACTGGGCAGGGCAGGGCAGGCACCAGCCCTCACCTCTGCTTAGGGTCCTTCTTAAGCAGCCCAGCAAGCAGGGACTTGGCCTCAGGACTGAGCGTGCGCGGGAAGCGGATCTCCTCCATGAGGATGAGCTCGAAGAGGCGCTCGTGGTCCTGGTTGTAGAAGGGCAGGCGGCCGCACATCATCTCGTACATGACCACGCCCAGCCCCCACCAGTCCACGGCCCGGCCGTAGTCGTTGTCCTCCAGCACCTGCGGAAGGAGGGGCAGTGAGGGGCCAGGCGGAATCACGGTTCTGCCCTCGGAGGTCCCCTCCACCCTGGCCTCACGTGTTCCTGCACCCCCGCCCCCAGCCCCAGTACCTCAGGCGCCAGGTACTCCGGGGTCCCACAGAAGGTTTTCATGGTGGCCCCATCACTGATGCCCTCTTTGCACAGGCCAAAGTCAGTGATCTTGATGTGGCCATCTTTGTCCAGCATGAGATTTTCCAGCTGTTGGAAAAGTCAACACATCAGGGACACGCTCTCCCAGGACTTCCTGTCGCCCTAACCCCTCCCTCAAGGGAGTTGTGGCCTAGGGTGGCAGCTGCCAAGCCAGGGGCTCCAGGACATCAATTTCCCTATGCCAGGCTGGGCCACAGCACACACAGGGCAGGGATAAGGCCTCACCCTCTGAGACCCGGAGGGAGCCAGACCCAACACCTCCCGCCCCGCCGCCACTCTCCAGGCTAGCTGGAAAACGGCCAGGCAGGGAGAGATGGGGCCAGGCCTGCCCTCCTGCCGCCCTCACTGTGGGCTGCAGTTGCTTATATTCAGGTGTGAGGGGCACTAGCTTTCTTCTATTTTTTTCCAAGCTTTTTGCCTTTTAATTACGAAATATACACCAGCAAAGAGCATAAAAATATAAAACATAAATGGGCAATTCAGTGGGGCCTTGGTGTAACCTCCACCAGGTCAAGAAATAACATCAGTAACCCCCAGAAGCACTGCGTGCCCCTCCCCACTACTGCCTGCCCCCGCCGAGCAGTAACTTCTCCCTTGCTTTTCTTTACAGACTGTACCACCCACACATACACACACCTACAGATTCCTCTCATCTGTCCTGGCTTTTTCCCTCGACACTACCTATGTGTGTAGCTGCAGTGTGTTCTCTAACTGCTGCACGGAAGCCCCTGTGTGAATACACCACGACGGGCCTTACCCGGTCTCTGGGCTGCTTCCAGTTTGGGCTAGCGCCAACAGTGCTCCTCTGAGCTTGTGTATACACCCTCTGAGGTGCACACATGTCCCCGTTTCTGTTGTGCACTCAGCTTTGGTGGACACTGTCGAATTATCTTCCAAATTAGAGCTTGTGCCAATTTACACCCCCACCCCCACCCCCAGCAGCCTAGAAGTGCTCAGAGGAGGCCTGGAAAGGTCCCGAGAGCAGGGCTGCCTGCTGCGGAACCGCCGCCCTGGACCTTGGCGGGGAGCTCGGCAGAAGCCTGATCCCGACCTCCCTGCCGTGAGTCCCGCGCATGTGCCACGGACCAGCCTGGAGCCTCTGTGCGATTGTCCCCCTTGCCCCCCAGGCACACACCAACCTTGATGTCACGGTACACCACATCCCTTGAGTGCAAGTACTCAAGAGCTGAGACAATCTCTGCGCCATAAAACCGGGCCCGCTCCTCCGTGAAGACACGCTCCCGGGACAGGTGGAAGAACAGCTGCCGGAGGAAGGCGTGGGGAGGAAGTCAGAGCCCCGGCCCTGAGAGAAGGGCAGTGACACTTGCTCCATGAACTGGCAAGTGCCAGCAGGAGGGACCAAGTGAGGCACAGTGAGCAGAGAAGAGCAAGGACCAGCCAGTCGGTGCCAGTAAGAGCGTAATGGAGGGACAGCCTGCGACGGGCCAGGGAGGGAGCGAAGAGGAACACGAGTCCTGAGCAAGTGACAGGAAGCCTCAGGTGAGCCCGCATCGGACAGATGAAGCAAACAACCGATCTCGATCCAGAGAGCTGCATCTGCCTGCGCACAGAAGGGCGCCAGAGACGAGTGGGTGACAGAAGGGTGAACTCGGCGCAGGGAGCGGCTGAACTTATCTGCTTCAGGGAGAGACAGGGAAAGAGAGGGCTGGTGGATTTCGACACTCAGATGCTTTCTTTGGAGCCTCTGAAAACGTCCTTTGAAGCACCGTCAGCCAACCACTCACAGCCCTCTCCACATCACTCTGCCCCGCGCTCACTGTCACCTGGGCAAGCCATTTAACCTCGCTGAGCCTCACTTACCCCACTGCAAAACGCAGATGATGCCCGTCTCACAGACGGCAGGTGGAGGGCCAGACAACAGTCAGTGAGCCTCCCGCCACCCCCACCCCAGCTCCTCTCTGCCTTGCCCCACACTCTGGAAAGACACACCTAGAAAGCACGGCCGGGGGTCCCCACGGCTCACCTCGCCACCATTGGCGTACTCCATCACGAAGCACAGGCGGTCGTGGGTCTGGAAGGCATACTTCAGTGCCTGCGGGGGGGAAGGTGGCCAGGGTAGCGCGTGGGAAGGAGGAGGGCTCTGCTGAGCCTTGGAGGCAGGGGCGCTGCTAATTGTGCGTGTACCCTCCGGCCCTGGCCTGGGCCCGAGGGAGTCAGGCAGACGGGGAGTAGGTGAGTGGACTTGCGGCTCTGAGGGCAGAAAAAGGGGACACTGTACCGAACCACCTTGTCCTCTACCTTCGCCAGGCACAGCCAGGGGAGAAAGTATGTTCTGGGTAACCAGAGCTGTTTCTCTTCTCTCCGCGTCATTTTAATAGTAAAATGTGTTAAAGTCACACACGCACACAAGTGATGTACGCGGTGGCTGGGAGTGGCAATGGCTTGGGAGCCAACTCCGAAGACAGGATGGGCAAGCTGCAGCCAGCAAACAGTAGTCATGACACTGCACATCACGGAGCCCTACAGAGAGCTCCTCGGAGGCCTCCTGGGTGACCCCTCTGCTCACAACTCGACTGTTCCCTGTCTTCCACACTGAGGTACCTCATATGATTTCATCTGAACAAGTGCTGTGACTTAACAGGACACCTGGACAGCAACTGAGCTACACAAATGACACATATGCTGGCCTCAAGCTGCTCCATTTAACTGACGACCACAGCCCAGAGAGGTACCTACTCAGCCTGAGTTATCGGCAACACAATGTAACACCTCTGCTTTTATGATTATAACTTAAAACAAATAATGTTCCCATTTGGACCACCTGGGCTAAGTGCTCCTAAGTCATAAAGACAGCAGCCATGCTCTCCCGGGGCCACCTGATGTGACGTCTTCAGTCTGCTTACACGAAACCACCATCTGTGAAGAAGCTGCCAGCCCTGCCCGCAGCGTCTGGGTTCAGACGAGGTAGGGGCGCAGCAACACCTTGCCCTGCCCGCCTGGCCTACACCAAGGCTATGCTTTGTGGCAGCAGGTTGAGGCTCTTTCCCCGAGCTGTCCAAAGGGCCCAGACTGCCTGAGAAGGGAGTGTGACTCACAGTGAGGAACGGGTGCCTGGTGTTCTGGAGGACTCGGCTCTCGGTCACCGTGTGGGCGACTTCATCCTGCAGACAGAGCACGGGTGAGGGACTGGTGGGCAGCACCAGGCCTGCCCACTCCATCCCTGACCTGAGGGATGGGGAGCAAGGTCTTGGTGAAACACAATCCCATTCAGTGGCGCTCTCTCAAAACAGTAAGGCAGAAAGTCAATGGGGACCTCACAATGGAGGGGTCAGGCTGCTACCACCTGAACCCACATGCCTAAAGTGGGGACAAGCACACATTATGAGACCCCTGAGGTGCTGCCACAGGATGTGGGCAACACCACCTTGTCAAATGTCCTTGCCCAAAGAAGGAACTGGACTAAGCCAGGCTCTAGGCTGGAGAGTGGCAGTTCTGGGGTGTGGCCCCACACTGCAGCATCAGCACCGCCTGGGAACTTGTAGAAATGCAAATTCTTGGGCCCCACCCAAGAGCGACTGAGTCAGAAACTCCGGGTGGGCCCAGCACTGTCTCACTAGCCCTCTGGATGACATTAATGCAGGTTCAAGTTTGGTATCCGACTGAATAGCAGAACCACCAGGACAGCATCCAAAAATCCTGAACCATCTGTGGCAGCTTGGACACTGGCTCTCCCCTAGAACAAGTTTATCCCCAGGGGACATTTGAGAATGTATAAGGTTACTTTTGATTGTCATACCTGGGGGGGTTGCTATTGGCTTTAGTGGGTAGAAGCCAGGGATGCTGCTAAACATCTTACAGCACACAGGACAGTCCCCAAGACAAAGAACGACCTGGCCCAAAATGTCAATTGTGCTGAGCTGAGAAACTCTACCTTGGATCAGCAATATCAGGAATTAACAGTTAATTTTGTTGGATATGATCCTAGCACCATCTGATTATATTCTTTAAAATCTTCATCTGTTAAGATGCATATTTAAGGCTGGACGCGGTGGCTCATGCCTGTAACCCTAACACTCTGGGAGGCCGAGGCGGGAGGATCATTTGAGTTCAGGAGTTCGAGACCAGCCTGAGCAAGAGCAAGACCCCGTCTCTACAAAAAATAAAAAATTAGCTGGGCGTGGTGGTGTGCGCCTGTAGTCCCAGCTACTCGGGAGGCTCAGGCAGGAGGATCGCTTGAGCTCAGGAGTTTGAGGTTGCTGTGAGCTAGGATGACACCACTGTACTCTAGCCTGGGTGACAGAGTGAGACACACTATCTCTTAAAAAAATAAAACAACTCCAAAATAAAAAAGGGAGGGGACAGCAGAGCTAATGAAACAAGACTGGCTACATTCTGTGATAACTGTTGAAACTGGATGATGGCTACATGGGAGCCCATTATATTTATTTTCTTTTTCAAAATTTTGTATGTTTGGAAGCTTCCATTACAAAAACTTTAAATAAGGGGAAAAAATAGAATTCCATTCCCGGCCCAGCCTCCCCACAGAGACCTCTCCGCTTTCAGGCCTTGACAGCGCTGCTGGGGGAGGCCCCGAGGCAGACTCAGTCCATGGGTATCTGCGGACCTCGAGAGGGTGGGGTGGGGGCTCAGCAGGCAGCCCGCTCCTCTCTGGGCCTAAGGCTCCCCTTCTGCTCAGGGAATTACAGGACTGAGTCCGAGGGGAATGGGATTCGTGGCAGGGAATAAGACTACAGCAGCAGAAGGCTGGCTCAGTGTCCCAGCCCTCCAGAGCCCCTGGCCACAGTCCGGCTCCAGACCACGGCCCCCACAGATGCCAGCGAGCAGCAGTCCTCGGAGCGCCCACCTTGGCGATGATGACCTCCTTCCGCAGGATCTTCATGGCGTAGTAGCGGCCAGTAGCCTTCTCTCGCACCAGGATGACTTTGCCAAAGGTTCCCTTGCCAAGGAGTTTGAGATAGTCGAAGTCATTCATGGTCTGCGGGGATGGGAAGAGTGGGGGCCGTCAGCGCCTGGCACATGGCCCATGGGAGGAAATTTTGACAAAGAAAGAGGAAAACCAAAGGACACTGTTGCCAAGCGGCTTCAGCTAGAGCAGGAAGGGAGGCTCTGGGCAGCAGCTGCTTGTTCTGAAGGGACCTTCAGGCCAAGGCTCTCCCACCTCACGGCTTTCCCAGGCACAGGGCCTTGGGTGGGCTGAGCCCAGAGCTCTGACGGGGGGTCATGGGGTCTTCACAACCTCCCAAGATGAAGCTGCAGCAGGTCTCCCAGGGCTGCCCCTCACCCTGTGGGCACAGAGCAGCCCCCCGGGGCATCGACACCCTGAAATCACCCCACCGTGCAGGGCAGACATCTCTCAGCTGGACCCCTGCACAGTTTATATGGAAACCAAGCGGGGCAAGGCCAGCGTTGGGGACGGGGGCACTTGCAGACGGACAGCCCCCCACCCTTTGCCCCCAGCACCTACCACTTTGGCCCGAGCCTTGCTGACTGCCACTTCCATCTCCTCGGCCGTGGAAGAGTCACTGGGGGAGCCACACTTGTAGTCCATGGGGTCCTCACCCGGGCCCCGTTGCTTGAGGCTGTTGGCGACCATCTGGATGGCCCGCATCCACTCCTCCCTGTGTGGGGGCACACATGAGCCATGACTCCTGGGGAGCCACGGGTCCAAATACCTTCGGGCATTGTGGCGAGATCTGTCTGAGCCAGGCAAAGCTGACAGGACCTGAGCGAAATTTCACAGCCCTCTGGCTGTGACGGGCAGGAGAGGGCAAGAGTGGAATACGAAGAGAGAGCATTGATTTCTCAGCAGTGGCCTGGCCTCAGGGCCACCTGAAACCAGGCAGTGGTGAAATGATCAAAGTGGGGAGGCCACTTTCTTCTTGAAAATGAGCCACTACCCTGAGCCTCGAGTGAGGGAGACAGTGCTTCTCTGAATTCCTCCGGAACAAATGACAAGCTCAAGTTTACAAGTCACCAGTGTCTTGTAGAGCAAAACCAGCAGTAAAAGGAAGCATTCATTAGCCAAAGCAGCTGAAGATCTTAGGAGGCAAGAGCTGAACGACAGGACTCCCTGAAGGGGACAGTCTGCTGGGAGGGCGTGGCAGGGACAGAAATCCTAGCAGCCCAGGGATATGGAAGAGAGAAGGTGGTGGGCAGGAAGCAGATCCCAGCAAAACAGAGCCCAGTTTAAGAATAAACCAGTTCTGTTGCTCACGACTTAGGACTTGCTGGGAAAGAATTTTCTTTTGATACTTGCAAACTATTCTAGTAAGTGAAAATGACCAGAGACCAGAAAGAAAAATACTAGGCTGAATGACACTAAAATTGTTCATATCCCCCCATTTTTGACCCACCACACAGCAATCAGGTGGTTCAACCCAAAATATTGTGAACCGCCCCCCGCTACCCCCAGTGTATCGGGCTTGTGCCTAGAAAACAGCCACATGACCAGTGGGAAAAAGAAAATGTTCAGTAAGAACGAGAAAATCCAAAGAGTGCAAACAGCAACCTCCCAAATCCCAGTGATTTAAATAAGCCACAGTAAGTGCAGCCAGCTCAGATGGGAGCTAAGAACAGGCACTCACTATTATTAACCACCCCTTCTCCCGCATTACAAAGGAGGAAACTGAGGCACAGGTTAAGAAACCAAACTCAAGAAAAACACGGCAGTTGCTCCAACCTGGTAACTGGAATAATAAAAAGCCTGTGGCTTTCCCCAGGGCCAGTGGGCAGGGCAGCTCTTGCTCGGCTTGGCGGCTTGCTGAACCGAGCAGCAATGAAGCCCAGAGGCCCCGGTAAACGCAGGGGAGGCTCTGCCTTCTCAAACTGGCCTCGCTCACAGGAGATCACGTTTTGTAAGACAGATGCATAAACATCAAGTGCTGGCACGCTGCTCCTTCCCACCCAGGGCCTGGGGTCTGTCCCATGAGGGCGTGGAACATGGTGTGCCCCAGCACTCATGGCGGGTACTCGGCAGGTTTTCAGGTAATGATAAGTAAGGAGCCAAAGACCGAGTGGCCTCAGGGCCAGCGCACAGCGAGGCCCGGTGCACACCCAGGCAGAGCGGTACTGGCTTCTTCCCCCCATACCCCAACATCTCAAGCCAGCATTTCTCAACTTGCTTTAACGCGTAACCCCTCCAGAACAAGTTATAGCCTAAATGCCAATCTCTATATTAATATTCCTGTTTTCCCAAAAAAAAAAAAAAAAAAAGAAGAAGAAGAAGAAACAGAGTAGGAACACATCCCATAACAGGCTTTATCAGACCCAGTTGTCCTCTTACGAATTTTAAAATGTTCAACCTGAGTGTAAGATGGTAGACTGGGGGGGGGGAAATCGCAGATCTCCTGGGAGATACGGTGATTAAAATACATATACATCTCTCATATATAAAGACCTTGAGAGACCATCACGTGTAGAAAGCAGGTTGCAGACTAAGATGTACAGGGTGGTACCATCTTTGTTTACAAAGAAAGGGGTGGAGAGGACACAGACGGTCCCTCAGCAGTAGCCTGAACACACAAGCTACAGCGCATGCACACCACGGGCACCAAAAGCAGCTCTGAGGCGCTACCCCGGAGGTGGATCGGGGCACGGGCTCTGGAGCCACACCGGCCGGGCTCCAGGGGCGACTTCGCTGCCTCCTCACCCTCCCGGCCTCCTCCCCTTCTCTGCGGACCGGGGCTGCTGAGACACGGGTGAGCCACTTCATGCAGAGTGTGCACACAGGGTGGCACAGAAAGACTTGACTCACGGAAGGTGCTAAAGACACGAGGGTGAGGGGCCTGGAGCTACCCAGTGCACCCTGGCTCAAGCTGCCCAGCCTACAGGGAGCTGTGGGAACCCACAGCAACGCAAGAGGTTGACCGGGGTAGCTGGGGCTCTGCAGACGCCTGAAAAGCCTCCAATACTGTTCCAACTGGACTGAAGTTGCGAGGTTGCAGCACTTAGAATTCCAGAGAAAAAGCAAGGGCCTCTGTCCAGGGTGTCGCGGGTACTCCTCAGGGGTTCACAACGTGGTGTCTGGGGCAAAGGGGAGCTGGGGCTGAAGTACTTTCCACCCTCCAAGAGGAGAGCCCAAGGGGAAACCAACCTCCTTTGCTACTGAGAAACGACCAGAAAATAACAGCACTGAACAGCCAGCTCCACAGGCACCAGCTTGTGTAATTCTCGAGAGCACTGGAGGGGGAGACAGCATTTCCAGGGGGAGTCACCTACGGAGGTCACACGGCGGGGACAGGGCAGAACTGGGACTCTCGCCCACACACAGCCCACTCCTCCGTGGCACCACGCCGCAGTTCCCTGTCTCAGACTCGAGAGGCTGCTGAAAGCCACAGCCTGGATTCCCAGACACGACCCAGGAGGATCGAGGAGTGACACTCTCTCAGAAGGCTTCATGGACTAACGGACACCACGCCAGAGAGCCCAGGAGCAAAGTAAGGAACACCACTCCCCAGGAGCTGTGACCTGGACCACCGTTCGGAGAGGGACTCCCCACCGAGCAACAGTAACACTAACGCCTTCCACTTACAGAGGCCACCACCGTGGTGCTTTACGGGAAGTGGCTGCTTTCGTCCTCCCCAACAACCCTCTGCAGTGGGTACTGCGACTGACTTCACTGCATAAATGAGGAGACTGAGGCACAGAGAGGCTGGTGTCTGCCTATTTACAGAGCCAGCACGCAGAGGCCAGGGACACAGACCCACGCATTCCAACCTCCCCCACAAACACTTCCCCCCACCAAGAAACACGACCAGAAAAATAACATGGCACCGTCTCATCCTCACTTGGGCTCCAGGGCCAGGGGATGGACTTATGAGAGACCATGTTCACCCACGAAGGGCACAGGGCAGGACACAGGCTCAGTGCCAGAGCCCGAGGCCCGAGCCTCAGCTCCGCTGCATTCCAGCTGTGGGTCCTCAGCGGCCCGACCTCCCCAGCCCGTCTGCCTCCCGTATCAACTGGGGACCACAGTGGTTGAGATTACAGATTCTGGAACCGATGGCCTGGGCGCGAATCCTGGCTCTGCCCCTTCCTGCGGGCAACACCAGGCAGGTCATGTGACCTTCCTGTGCCTCAGTGGGCCGACTCAGACGGTGGGCACTAGCGGTGGGAAATGACTGGAGGATATGGCAGAGCCTGGAGTTTACTCCAAGTGGGACTAAAAGCCACTCGGAGTTCTGAGCAGACAAAGATTTGCATCAGAAAGATACTAATCTGATGCACTATTAAGCACTCCTGCTTGTCAAGACCAAGGGTCTGTAAACTTTTTCTGCATAAGGGCCAGGGAGTAAATTTTTTAGGTTTTGCAGGCCACAGTCTCTGTCACAACTACTCACCTATGCCACAGGATGGCAAAAACAGCCACAGACAACTCGTGAATAAACGAACGTGGTCATGTTCCAATAAAACTTTATTTACAGGCCGGGCGCGGTGGCTCACACCTGTAATCCTAGCTCTCTGGGAGGCCGAGGCGGGTGGATTGTTTGAGCTCAGGTTCGAGACCAGCCTGAGCAAGAGCGAGACCCCATCTCTACTAAAAAATAGAAAGAAATGATCCGGATAACTAAAAATATAGAGAGAGAGAAAAAATTAGCCGGGCATGGTGGCACATGCCTGTAGTCCCAGCTACTTGGGAGGCTGAGGCAGTAGGATTGCTTGAGCCCAGGAGTCTGAGGTTGCTGTGAGCTAGGCTAATGCCACGGCACTCACTCTAGCCCGGGCAACAAAGTGATACTCTGTCTCAAAAAAAAAAAAAAAAACTTTATTTATAAAAACGGAAGGCAGGGCTGTAGTTTGCCAACCCTGCTCCAGACCTCACTTTCGGGTTTAAAGGAGAACAAAGTAAACAATGCCAAAAGGCAATACTGTGACAGGGCTAGAATGTGGGACGTTCTACAAGACAACTAGCCTGGCTTATACAAAAAAAAATCAATGTCTGGGGCAGGGTGGAAACAAAGGGCTAAACTAGATTAAAACAGGCCAAAGAGACATGTACTTTGAATTAATACTGGCGTGAAAAACATTTTGAAGATACCTAGAGAAATTCAAGTATGGCATGGATATGGAGAAGATATTAGGAAGTACATAATTATCTCGGGTGTGGTAAGGATACCACGATTCTGCAGGAGAAAGTCCTTATTCTTAGGAGATGCCTGCCGAGGTATTAAGGGGTAAAGTGCCACAAAGTACGAACATCTGTTCAAGAGTCAGCATAAAATACAGCCAGACGAAGCAAACGTGGCAAGTGCTGGACTGCTGAACCTCGGTACAGGGTGCCCGGATGTTCATTCATTGTACTTCTTTCAACTTTTCCACATTTGAAATAAGCTGGCAGTGAACTAGATGGCGCAGGGAGGGTCCCGGCTGCCCTGGAGAAGGCAGGAGAGGCAACCAGGAGCCCAGTGAGGGGGTGTTGCGGCACCTAGACAATGACCAGAAACCAGCATGGCTCCCGTCTGCCCTGCGGCCTTTGTGTCCCTCCCAGGCTCAGGAGCCAATGCCAGGCCTACGTAGGCGGGGGCAGTGAGGATAGCATCAGTCAGCTACGGGCAGAGCGGAGGGCACCTCCCGCTTGCAGTGTTTCTGGCTCAGCACCCCCTCCAGGATTAAGGTCAGGAATCTGGGATCTGGTCTCTCAGAGCAGTCCCAGCAGTTTGTTCTCCAGCTGCAGCAGAAGATGCTAAGAAAAGGAAGAAGGTAGGGGCTCTCCAGTCCCCACAGTCTTAGTAATAGGGTTCTTCCCCACACTGAGGAGCACGCTATCTTGCGAAAATAGAAACTAGATCATCTCTCCTGCCCACTAGAACACCTTGCTGGCTCCCCGCTGCTCCTTTTCTGGGCTTGCAAACCATGCGCCAGGTACTGCTGCGTCAAGGGCTTCCTGTTTATCATCCCCCTGAATCTCGGAACAACCCTGCCACAAACCCCAACTTATCAAGCCCTGCCAAGCCCTGTGGGAATCTCCATCTGGAGTCCAAGGCCCTGGCCGAGCTCTCCATCTTCAAGCGCCTCTACTTCCCCCCTTTCCAACACTCCTCACCCCTTGATTTTCTGATGACACAGAACCCTTTGTGGCCCTGGAATGCACAAGCTGTTTTACCTCCAGGCCTTTGCATATGCTGGTCCCTTTTGCTGAACCTTTCTCCTGCCTATCTCCATGGCCAACTCCTATCCATTCTTCAAAACCCAGCCCACCAACATGCAGGACCTATGCAACTACTGGTCTTGATGTGTTTTTTTCTGGCAGTCTATGTTTTGGGCCATAGTTTTCAACTGAGTAACACCTCAGCTGGGCTTGGGATGGTAATTCTATTTCCCCTGGTGAGGCAAGTACATTTTTAACCTTGGGAAGATATGCAGTAAGAATTATAATACAGATAGTGGTAGCAAGTCCTGTGATATTGTTTGTGTAGGCTCCTGAACCACACTGTCCAAGAATGTAGTCGCTAACCAAATGTGGCTATTTAATCAGTTAAAATTAAATAAAATAAAAGATTCCATTCCTCAGTGGCCCTATGTCAAATGCTCAATAGGCGCACATGCATGTTGGACACTGCAGATATAAAGCATTTCCGTGATGGCAGAAAGCTCTCTTGGATGACACTGTTTTAGGGTTCTCCAGAGGGTCTGCTGAAGCCTTACCCCCTGGACAAGCTAGAGGAGTGTTTCTCAGTGAGATCCAAAAGGACAATGTGGGGAAAAAAGAACATTTCCCATTCATTACAAAGGGCTAAGCTCAGCCAGGCGCGGTGGCTCATGCCTGTAATCCTAGCACTCTGGGAGACCAAGGTGGGAGGATCACTTGAGTTCAGGAGCTCGAGACCAGCCTGAGCAAGAGCAAGACCCCTCATCTCTACAAAAAACAGAAAAATTAGCCGGACATTGTGGCACGTACCTGTAATCCCAGCTACTGGGAAGGCTGAGGCAAAAGGATCACGTGAGCCCAGGAGTTTGAGGTTACAGTGAGCTATGATGACACCACTGCACTTCAGGCTGGGATGAGAGAGCGAGACTGTCTCCAAAAGGTGGGGGAAGCTAAGCTCCCTAATATATAAAGAGCTTTCAGATACAAATTAGAAAAAGACCAACTACTCAATAGGAAAAATAGACAAATGATATGAACAGAGAGTTTGGAAAAGGAAACTCACATGGCTCTTAAGGGTCAAACACATCCACAGAGAAAGAAAAAAAAGTTAACACTGCCATGAGGTGTGATTTGCCACTGCTCAGATTGGTAAAAATTCAAATGTTTGAAAGCACAAAGCCACACAACCCCAGTCACCATGAATAAAAACCTGCTATACAAACAAACGTAAACTTTGGGACACACACATGTGCAGCTTTTTAAAAAAGTAAATAAAAGCAAAACATAAAACAAAGCAGCAGCAGCAGCTCTCCGTATACTAAGGATTCCCCAAGATACACTCAAGTGAAAAAAGCAAGTCCAGAACAGTGTGTACAATGCTATCTTTTGTGCAAAAAGCAGCAAAAAAAAAAGGCAGGAGGGCACAAAGACCTCTGCTCTTCAAGGACACACAAGCTCGCTCTCTCTTTCTGCTCTTCAAGGACATGTAAGAACACTGGGGGTGCGGGGAGCTGGACGGATAAGGCAGAGACGGGAGTGAACCTCTTACTAGACACCTCCTTACACTGATTTTTTTAATGGATGCATCTGTCTCATCTCTGATTATGAAACTGATCTTTTCAAATTGAATCTCTGCACTACCTTCCCTCAAAATCACTAGAGATGCTTGTTAAGAACATGGCTACCTGACCGCCTGCATATGTCCAGGCAATACAAGGCTCTGGAGCCAGGCCCAGCGGTCTGTATCATTACACAAGCTCTGCCCCGTGGTTCCGTGGGCCCTCAAGTCCGAGGACACGGAGTGGGGTCTTCAGATGAAGAACCACAGCTCTTCTCAGCTCCAGCTGGGGAGACGGCCACACAGAAGGGCTATACACTAGACGCTCCTATGGAGGGTCCCAGAGGAAATCTGTCCATCTCTACCCCTTCTGCTCACATCAGGCTTGGTCACTCTCAAAGGGCAGCCACACGGAGGCCCAGACTCACCTCTCGTCTGGAGAGTCTACATGGAAGGTCCTCTCGATGACCGTGGTCCACTGCAGGCAGCGTATGACAAAGGTGTTGGGCCGTGGCCTCTCGGTCTTCATGAGCTGGCATTCTGCAGGTGGAGGGGAGGGCATGGAGGTGAGGAGGCAGCCCTGCCTGGTGCAGCCCGCATTCCTCAAGCCCCCTCCTCTGTGCCCAGCCCCATGCCAGATGGTGTTGGCACTCTAGTGACTGAGACAACCCTGCCCTGCCCTCACATGGCTCAAGGTCCGGTATGTGTGGGGAAGGGGCCGGACCACCAGACAGTGATGACTCAGTAGTCAGGGCTGTGGTGGGGGAGCCCAGAGGTGTGCAGAAACTCAGAGGCAGCATCTGACCCAGCGCAGGGGTCAGGGAGGGCTTCCCAGAGGAAGCAGCATCTCCGAACCAATCCCTGAAGGAAAATGGAGCTTAGAGAGTACGTCACGTACAGAAGCCCAGAGGCAAGAGGGGCCCCGGTACCCTCAGGGGCTGGGCAATTCTGCTCCAAGCATGAGGAGGGAAGCAGTAAGAGACAAGTCTGGAGAGGTGGGCCGGCGTCAGCCAGGCAGGGCTTTGGAGGCCACAGGCGGGCAAGGAACCTTGACTTTGTCCTCAGGACAGCAGGGAGCCATGGAAGGCTTTTAAATGGGGAAGGGACATGACAGATTAAGACCCATTCCTCTGACTATCGTGTAGAGGGTAAGACTGGAAGCTGGGGGCCCAGGGAGGCAGGGACCCAGTTGGAGAGGATGGGGCTACACCAGAGTGAAGCCACAGGGAGGGGAAAATAGGGCAGGCAGACAGGCCATGGCAGGGAGGAAGGCATCTAGGACAAGGCCCAGGCCTCTGGCCCAAGGCCTAGGGGGTTGACAGGGTCACCCCTGAGATAGAGACAGGGAATAGAAAGTTGAGAGAGGGGAGGAGAGACCCGAAGGTCAGGTATGAGGGACCTAGAGGACACCCAGGGAAAAAGGTCCACGGAGCTGCTAGGGACGGGCTAGGCACTCAGCTGAGAAGGTGGGGCTGGGAGCAGATGTGCTGGCGTCACCAGCGCACTGGAGAGCAAGTGGGAAAAGGCTTTACACAGAGCAGAGTGGGGCTGGTGCTGGATTCGAGAGAAGCGAGGGAGAGGACGGTGGTCTGGGCTCAGGCACTGGAGACAGGGGTGCCTCTGCGATGTTCTTCACAGGAGGGACAACGAGGACATGGTGAATGATCAGGTCTGCAGGGAAGGAAGGTGGCAGAGGGGCAGGGGATGGGGGCAGGACTGTGTTCTGCAAGTCCCCAGCAAGGGCTTCGGGCTTGTGAATTTTCATTGATTAGGGTCCAACTGGAAGGCGTCACTTCGGGTACCATGGAGGGAACAGAGGACATGAGGCTAGCCCTGACACCCCTGAAGCCACGATACCTCTAGGTTAGAGGACAGAGGGAGGAGGCTGTTACCAGAGCGAAGGATGGGAGGCACTTGGCACAAGCTAGAACCACAGAGCTGCCCAGCAGGGGTGTGGGGAAATGCCCTGGCCTCTCCCTCCCTCCCACCCCTCCATCTCCACCAGGACAGCCCCGCCTGGCCCAGCTAACACAGAGGGCAAGCAAGGGAAGGGCAGAAAACACATCTGACGGTAAACAGGCCCCGCGACAGGCCCAAAGCTCAACAATAACGGAGTCCCATGCGCCCCTAAGACTTGCCAGCCATTCTAGGAGCACCAGAACCCTGGCGTGCTCACCCTAAGACATACCTGCTACAGAAAAGTTGTTTAAGGGCGGTAAGGTCTGGTCAGGGGCCTCGGGCCTTTCCTTATACCCAATGAAGGAGCCATCACTCTTCAGCAGGAAGTACCGGGGCCTCCAGGTCTTGATGTATTCACCTGAAAGCAGGCAGGAAGGGAGCGAGGTCAGGGCAAGGTTGACTGGTGTCCCAGGCGGGCGGCAGGCAGGCAGCCCAGTATGACAGTGACTCACAGGGGGCACCACAGTGGCAGGAGGGTGGACGAGAATGCCAATCCCAGAGGAGCCCTTGAGGTGGCCCCTGCTGACGCACGCTGGGGTACTGGGCTGAGCCCCAGTGATCCACAGGTCATTCCTGACAAGAAGGCGCCTGTGGCAGTGCCCAGGGCACCAGCTGCCTCAGCGTGTGGCCAGCAGCGAGCGATCCTTGCCAACTCATGGCCTAGTCCCAGGGGAGGCCCAGGCTTCCAAACACCCATGTCCTGTGGCCCTGTAAGGCCAAATCCCAACGGCTGGTATTCACCAATACAGCTGCGCAGGTGGATCAAATGTCACAACAATTCTGTGCCAGGCAGGGTAAAGCTGCTGCCACACCCTCGCAGCACCCCTTGACCCCTTCCGATTGTTCTGACCACGAACAGCCAAGCACTCTACGAGCACACACACACACACACACACACACACACACACACACACACAGACACACAGAACCCACTCTTCAGAGAACTGCTAAGGATTAAAAAGAGATGGTGAAACATATGTCCATGCAAAAATCTGTACACAAATGTCCATAGCAGCATTATCCGTGACAGCCAAAAAGTAGAAACAAGCCAAATATCCATCAACTAACGAATGGATAAACAAAACATGGCATATCCATGCAACGGAATACTAACCAGTCACGAAAAGGAATGGAGTCCTGATGCAGACTACAATGTGGATGAACCAAAACTTATGCTAAGTGAAAGAAGCCAATGATAAAGACCTTGAAATATATATGGCTCAATTTATATAAAATTTCCAGGAGTAGCTGCCTAGGGCTGGGGAGGGGACAATCTGAGGGGGGGAATCAGAGGGTGATGGCCAAGAGGGACAGGCTCTGTCGCCCGGGCTAGAGTGCCGTGGTGTCAGCCTAGCCCACAGCAACCTCAAACTCCTTGGCTCAAGTGATCCTCCTGCCTCAGCCTCCCAAGTAGCTGGGACTACAGGGCCCAGCTAATTTTTTTCTATTTTTAGTAGAGACAGGGTCTCGCTCTTGCTCAGGCTGGTCTTGAACTCCTGAGCTCAAGCGATCCTCCTGCCTCAGCCTCTCAGAGTGCTAGGATTATAGGCGTGAGCCACTACACCCGGCCCAGGATTTCTTTTTTAGAGTAGTAGAAATGTCCTAAAATTGGTTGTGGTGATGGTTGCATTAACTTTGAATATACTAAAAGCCATTGAATTGTACACTTTACATGGCTGAATCGTATGGTATGTGACATATCTCAATAAGGCTGTTAAAAAAAGAGATGGCAATCATGAGCTTAGGGCCTAGCACACCACAGGCACTCAGTAAATGCTCGTTATCATCAGCCCAACGTGCAAGCAAAGAGTGCACCAGGCCCTTGCCTCACGTGCAAAATGGCAGGGGAGGTGGGCTCTGAGCTCCTTTTCTTGTGTAGGAAACACTCCAATAAATCACTTCACTTCTCTCAGTGTTTCCTCTCAGGGGGATATTCATAAATTGATGACAACGAAGATGATGACGACACTACAGTATACTTTGTGTCTGGCACTATCTTAAGCATCTTACAGGTTTTGACTTATTAAATGTTTTCAAATGTAGTACTAATGATTCCATTTATATAAGGTTCAAAAACTAGCAAAACCCCAAATTCACAGCATATTGAAAGGATTACACACCATGACCAAGTAAAATTTATGTCAGGAATGCAAGGTTGGTTCAATATATGAAAATCAATCAATGAAACACACCGTATTAACAGAACAACAACAACAAAAACAACATGATCATCTCAGTGATGCAGAAAAAGCATTTGACAAAATCCAACTCTCTTTCATGATAAAAATACTCAACAAACTAAGAGGAGATGTTTTCTTTCTCAAAATGATAAAGGGAATCTATGAAAAGTCCTCACTAACATCATACTCAATGGCAAAAGACCAAACGCATTCCCCTTACGATCAAAGATGTGTGTTTTCACCACTGCGATTTAACACTGGAAAAGGCATTCAAATTAAAAAAAAGTAAAACTACTTTTACTTGCAAAGAACATGATCCTATATTCAGAAAATCACAAAGAATTTAGAAAATTTTTTAGAAATTTAGAAAATCACAAAAAAATTACTAAATCCACAAAATAATTACTAGAGGTAATAAATTTAGCAAGATCAACACATAAAGATCAGTTGTCCTTCTATATACCAGCAATGAATAATACAAAAGGCAAATTAAGAAAAAAATTCCATTTACAATAGCCTCCAAAAGAATAAAATACTTAGGAATAAATTTAACCACCAAGGTGAAATGCTTGTATATTACAAAACATTGCTCAAAGAAATTAGAGAACTAAATAAATGCAAAGAAACCCTGTGTCTGTTGGAAGATTGGAATACTGCTAAGATGGCAATACCATCCAAAGTAATCTACAGACTTAATGCAATCCCTATCAAAATTTCAGCAGTCTTTTTTTCAGAAATAAAAAAACTAATCCTCAAATTCACATGGAATTGCAAAGGGCCCCAGATAGCCAAAACAATATTGAAAAAGAAGAATAAAGTTAAAAGACTCATACTTTCTAATACCAAAACTTAACTACCAAGCTACGGTATCAAAACAGTGTGGTATAAGGATAGACACATAGATCAATGGGACAGAATTCAGAGCCAAAGAATAAACCCAAACATCTATGGCCAGTTGATTTTCAACAATCAAAGTGCCAAAGATCATTCAATGGGGGAAAGAATAGTATCTTCAACAAATGGTGCTGGGACAAAGGGATATCCACATGCAAAAGAATGGAGTTTGGCCAGGTGCAGTAGCTCAATCTCAGTGCTTTGGGAGGCCGTGGCAGGAGGATCACTTGAGGCCAGGAGTTCAAGACCAGCCAGAGCAACACAGCAAGACCCTATCTCTACAAAAAATTAAAAAGTAGCCAGGCATGGTGCTGTGCACTTGTAGTCCCAGCTACTCAGGAGGCTGAGGCAGGAGGATCGCTTGAGCCCAGGAGTCCTAATTACAGTGAGTTATGATCAGGCCACTGCACTCCAGCCTCAGCAACAGAACAAGACCCTGTCTCAAAAAAAGAATGGAATTAGACCCCTACTTCACAGTATACACCACTATAAGTATTAACTCAAAACAGATTGACCTAAACATAAGAGCTAAAACGATAAAAAACTCAGAAGAATACATAGGAGTAAATTTTCATTACCCTGGATTGGGCAATGGATTCTCAGATGACACCAAAAGTGCAAGCAATGAAAGAAAAAAAGTGGACTCAAAATTAAAAACCTCTGTGCATAAAAGGACATGATCAAGAAAATAAAAAAGAAAGCATAGAGAATAGGTGAAAATACAAATCATGTATCTGATAAGGGTCCAGTATCCAGAATACATAAAGAACTCTTACAACTCAACAAAACGACAAACAGCCTGATTTCTCCAAAGATATACAAATAGTCAACAAGCACATGAAAAAACCATCATTAGTCATTAGGCAAATACATCTCAAAACCACAATGAGGTATGACTTCACACACACAGAATGGTTGTAATGAAACAAAAAATAACACATTGGCAAGGAGACGAAGAAATTAAAACCTTCATGCACTGCTGGTGAGAACGTAAAATGGTACAGCTGCTTCCTCAAAAAGTTAAATATATTGTAGTTTATAAATACAGTTTATAAACATGGACTGTACCTGTAGTCCCCAAACCCCAGGCTGCAGACCGGTACCAGTGCGTGGCCCGTTATGAACCGGGCAGCACGAGGAGGAGGTGAGTAGTGGGCGAGCCAGGGAAGCTTCATCTGGATTTACAGCCACTCCCCACAGCTCGCATCACTGCATAAGCTCCGTCTCCTGTCAGATCAGTGGCAGCATGAGATTCTTTTAGGAGTGAGAACCCTACGTAAACTGCACATGCGAGGAATTTAGGCTGTGCGCTCCTTACGAGAATCTAGTACCTGATGATCTGAGGTGGAGCTGAGGCGGTGATGCTAGCACTGGGGAGTGGCTGCAAATACAGATTATCATTAGCAGAGAGGTTTGGCTGCACAATACATGTAATGTGCTCGAATCATCCTGAAACCTTCCCTCTCCCCTCCCCTGGATCTGTGGAAAAACTGTCTTCCATAAAACCGGACCCTGGTGCCAAAAAGGTTGGGGACCGCTGGACTACATGACCCAGCAATTCCATTTCTAGGCATGTACCCAAAAGTAGTAAAAACAAGTACTCAAACATACTGTACATTTTGTTTACAGCAGCTATTCACAATAGCCAAAAGGTAGAAATAACCCCAGTGTCCGCCAACAGATAACTAGATAAACAAAACGTGATGTATCTACACACAAATTACTCATCCATAAAAAGGAATGAAGTACTGATACATGCTACAACACAGATGAATCTCAAAAACATATGCTAAAAGTAAAAAGCCAGGCACAAAAGGCCACATATTATACGATTCCACTCATACCACATGTCCAGAGCGGGTAAATCCACAAAGATAGAAAGCAAACGGTGGTTGTCAGATGCTAGGAGGAAGGGGGTGCTATGGTTTGAATGTGTCCCCCAAGTTCACATGTTGAAAACCTGATCCCCAATGCAGCAGTGTCGGGAAGTGGGACCTAATGGGAGACGTTTGGGTCATGGAGGTGCCACTCTCACAAATGGATTAAAGCTGTCATTAAGGGAGAGAGTTCCTTATAAAAGGACAAGCTGAGTCGCCTCTTAAGGTCTCTTCCCTTTCACCCAAGTCGCCTCTTGCCCTTCCACCATGGGATGATGCAGCAAGAAGGCCCTCCCCAGATGCTGGCCCCTTGATCTTGGACTTCCCTGCCTCCAAACCGTGAGAAACTTCTGTTCATTATAAACTGCCCAACCTCAGCTATTCTATTGTACCAGCAGGTACCAGAATCGGATTGCTTGAGCCCAGGAGTCCAAATTACAGTGAGTTATGATCAGGCCACTGCACTCCAGCCTCAGCAACAGAGCAGGACCCTGTCTCAAAAAAAGAATGGAATTGGACCCCTACTTCACAGTATACACCACTATAAGCATTAACTCAAAACAGATTGACCTAAACATAAGAGCTAAAACTATAAAAAACTTAGAAGAATACAGAGGAGTAAATCTTCATTACCCTGGATTGGGCAATGGATTCTTAGATGACACCAAAAGTGCAAGCAACGAAAGAAAAACAATGGCAGAACAGTGGCAGTCAGCAGGGCCCACCTTGCCTTGCCCACCTCTGCCAGCCGCTGCTGAGAATGACACACAATGGGAAGGCCCAGGAGTGCACGTGTATGTGTGCGTGTGTATGGTGCAAACCCGAGGCAGGTGGGTCCTGCCTGGCCACCCCAGCAGACAGGAGACCTGTGGCCAGCTCATCTGGCCCCGTGTAACATGAATGGAGACACTGAAGCCCTAAGAGTGGCCAAGATCAATTCAATGCCATCAACTGAGCAGAGAGCAGAGAGCAACTCCCATACCTCCCACAGTTCTACATCCACCCCCAGGGATCTTCGAACCCCAGCCTAGTGAGCTGTAGCCTCAGCAAACTCAGGTTGAGGGACAGGAGGCCACGACCCTGACATACACACGCGCGCGCGCACACACACACACACACACACACACACAAACACCCCTAATCATTCACTCAACAATCGTTTACTGAGTGACTGCTATATGCCAACAACTTTTTGACATGCTGGTGAAACGACAGGGAAGAAGCCACATGAAAATCCCTCATGGTAACACCAGAGATCTGGGTTGTTAACCCATTTTTACAGATGTGAAGCCAAGGCTCAGTGAGGTGACACAGCTTGCTTGCAGTCACACCAAGAGAAGCAGCAGAGACAGGGTTAGAACTCTGACATCTGCCAAGGTTCGGAAAGCTCACTCAACAGCCCCCGACTCAGAGCTCAGTCTGGGGGGCTAAGCTGAGGTGCCCTGAATGTCGCCCCTGCCTGAAAAGGACAGCAGGAAACGTGTCCCCCTGTTCAGTTTGATGGAAAGGCCTGGTCCTGTGGAGTGGCCCCTGTCCCTCATCACTGCTCTGTGTCTGTGGGTGGGGACAGGGCAGGATGAATGGGCCCATCCCCTGATCCCTGCAGTGACAGTCCCATCAGCCTCCTACTCCTCTTCCAGAGGATCCACTTTCCCCGTCTCAGAGGACTGTCACTGACTGTCCCAGCCAACCGTGGGGCTCACTCCTTTGCTTCCTTCAGGTCTCTATTCAGACGCCCCCTTCTCAGTGAAGCCCTCCCTGGCCACCCTATTTATGGTGGCTCCCTCCCTGCCTCACACCCCATCCTTTCCCAGTGTCCTACGGCAGCTGTCTGGGGACAGGTCACACCCTGGCTATCAATATCCTGGGGCTTGCTATGGCCTGGAGAGTTAAAACCAAAGCCATTTCCGTGGTCTAAGGCCCAACGCCAGTGGGCCCCACATCACCACCTGACAATGTATGTCTGCTCATTTATTGTTTGTCCCCACTCCTCACTGGAATGTGAACTCCACGATGCACCACTGTGTCCCAGAGCCTGGGATGACCTGGCACACCACACACAGTGAATGAAAGTTTGCTGAATGAATGAATGTTGAATATTGCCCCGCTGTGTTACTTCAGGTAAGTGGCTTCCCCTCTCTGAGCCTCAGTGTCTTCATTTATAAAATGGGGCTATGAATGAGATCGCTAATGCAGGGCGGAGCACAGGCCTGGCCTGTAGGCTCACTCAGGTGTCGAGCAGGGCCTGGAGACTCAGCCCCAGCTCCCCTGCCCAGGATACTACTGAAGGATTCTATGAAATGGGCATGTAAGTAGTTCCTGGCCCAGGGGCTGCAGAATGCTGGCTCCCCAGGCTGGTAAAACCCTGCACCTCTGTCGCTCATGGCACCGGCTGCCAGGGGGAGAGCCAGGGTGGAAGGATGAAACACACAATCTGGTGGGCAAAAGCGGCCCCTTACCACGCTTGTGGAGCCAGCCTTCTTTGATGACAGACACTTCATTCATGGTGGCAGCGTGACACGCTGTCACCTAGCTCGGGACAGCTCAGGGCAGCAGGACATGCAGGAGGCGCCGTGGACAGAGCACAGTCTGCAAGACAAGAGAGGACCTGGTCAGAGTGGGAGGGGATTCCACACCGGCCCCTTCCCTGAGGACACCCAGGTTTTGAGGCCCTCTGGCTGCTTTGCCTGCTCTGTACAGGGTAGGGGAGAGCCCTGCTCCAGGGGCCCAGTCTGCAGGGGGAGATGTGGCCCTGTCCCCAGGGACCCCAATCTAGGGGAGCAGAACTCCACGGCCTACGTGCAGGCCAGGCGTGCACTCAGGGCACCCATGCTGGGCAGAGGCAGCCCCTCCACCCCCCTTCACTCCAGACTGGACAGGCACCACGGTAGCTGAGCCCGCCCCCGGCATCACTCCCATGGCCAGTGCTGAGGTAACCCAGGATGAATCAGACAGCCCTGGGCACCTCAGCAAGTGCTCGAAGCCACCAGCGTCTGCCTATGGCCCACCAACACCAACACACACTCTCTCCCCTTTCCTAACCAGGGAGCCGCCAACCTGCTACCTGCAGCAAACTAAGTATACCCCGCCCCACCATGCCATCCCACGTCACTCCCCCAGCCTCAGCTTCCTCCTTGTCCCCACCCCACCAAGTGACTGAGGAAAGACAAGTCTCGTACTCCAGGATCTCGAACAAGAAAGAAACCTGCTGTGTATGCGCTCTTCTGGGGCCCAGAGCCAGTCCTGGGGGCTCTGCTAAGGGCCTGGTCCCGTCCCCAGGACCTCCGCTTCTGTCCTTAGGGACCAGCAGCTGACAGACTGACGGACGCCGAGGCCGCTGCTTCGTCTCAGGTTCCCAGAACGGAGGGGAGGAGGGGACGAGGCAGCCGCCAGCTGGGCCCTTACCTGGAGCCTGGGGCCTGGCCAGGGTCCATGGAGCCCAAGGCGCCTTTTGCCTTTCCAGCCCGGGGTTATTTGCGGACAGCAGGTCAGGAGCTACGGTGGCCCCAGAGAAGTGGCAGCTGGCTCTAGGGGACACCACGAGCATCAGCTTTCTCTCGTGCCCCAGGGGAGCTGGTGGGCCGGACACACTACTGCCTGGCATGTGACAGTGGCAGGCTGCCCGGGCTCCGGGCAGAAGGAAGGGAGGTAAATGGGAGGAAGCGGGAGGACAGGCAAGACGGACAGTGATGGGGAAGTAAACAGGAGGCGGAGAAATCACAGCCTGGACTCCAGGCTGCAAGGGCGCCGATGCGGGGCCGCGGGCAGCAACAGGGCCCCCGCCAGCAGGCGTGACCGGCACCCACACCCTGAACACACAGGACTGCCAGGCCCTCGACCTTCAGTACCCCACCATCTGTGTGTCTCCCCTCCTCCTACCCCACGCCCTCCCTGGGCTCCCACCACCCCCTTTCACCAGCTAGACCCTCCAATCTGGCCCTGTCCTTCCCCGGCTCAAAACCCCTCCACGGCTCTCCACTATCGCAGCGAAAAAGCCAAACTCCTCAGCTTGGTCTCTAAGGCCTGTCAGGACCCCACCCCTCACCCGTCTCTTCTGCCTTCTGCTCACTCACCTCGCACGGCCCCCTCAGTCCCCACAGCCTGTCCTCAGGCTCCTGCGCCTCTCCCACCTCCTCCAGCTCCCGCCTCCTCCCCAGACTCCCAGCCTCTGCTCTCGACCCCCACACTCCATCTAAATCTGACCCTGTCCCTCCCCACTCAAAACCCTTCCGTGGCTCCCCAGTGCACTCAGAACACAGAACAAAGTCCTTTCCACCGCTGAGGAGGCCCTGCACGAGCCAAGAGGCGCACCTAGAGGGCCCTCGGTTAAGGCTAACGACCATGACATTGACGACTGCACCCCTCCAGCCTCCTCCCCCAAACTCGACTCTGTCATGCTTCTGGCGCCCAGGGCCTTCCCTCCGGCCTCCAGCCCCTGTACCTGCTGTGCACTCTTCTCCCTCTTCCTCCAGGAAGCCTTCCAGACCTCAGAGGCTACACGGGGTGCTCTCCGTGCACCCCCTCGGGCAACCCTCCCCGCACCATCCATGCCCATTCAGTGGGACCGGCACAGCGTCTGGTGTCTACTAAGCACACAACGAATGAAGCCAGTGTTCCCAACAGACCCCCACCCAGGACCAGACACAGCCACAGAAACACTTCCAGACTCTATTCTTGCCACCAATCAACTTTTTTGGGTGCGTGCTAAGCTCCAGATGGTGCCAGTGGCAGAGCGTCACTAAGACACAGCCCCTGCCTTCCTGAAGCTCACGATCCGGCAGCTGAGGCAGAACAATGTCAGGTGGTAGAGGCAAGAAGAAGAAAAGCAAAGTGGGGGAGAACAGCAGGGATGGGGTGCAGCATTAGCCATATGGTGGGGGACATGTGAGCAGACACCTGAATTAACCAAGGGAGTCAGCCTTGTAGACACATAAGGAAAAGCATTGCCGGCAGGGGAACAGAGGGTGCGAGGACCCTGAGGCAGGAAGGAGTCTGGTGCACGGGAAGCCAGCAGACAGGCGGGGGCAGGGGAGAACACTCAGGCCTTCCAGGATGTGGCTGGGAGTTAGAGAAGCCCTTGCTCCCCCAGTACCACACTTTCCCCTAATGCGAGCTCAGTTCGGAATAGATCCCAAAGGGCTGGGATGGAGAATTCTGAGTCCAAAGGAAGGGTGGACGTGGAAGGAAAGGAACAGGGGCCCAATCTCAGCCCCCCGCCATCACTGGCTAGTGGCTTTGCCTGTCAGAGCCCCTGTGATTCAGCAGCACCAGGTCTCCACTCATGGCCGCACTACAGCACCCACTGTGGGCAGAGGGCTCGGCCTGCTGCCCCGCTCCCGGTGAACACCAAACACGTGGTTGCCGTTATTAAAAAGAGAGAAGCAAAGGCAGCCAGGTGTGGCCGAGAGTGGTCAGGGTTCCAGAGTCCGAGAGCCATCACCAGCTGGGTGGCCTTGGGCAGGGTGCCACTGCTCCCGTGGAGTTTCTCCTGAATGCTTCCCACCACCCCACCAGGGGGTCCATGACCATGCCCAGGAGAGGACAGAAGCTCAGAGAAGGGAAGTCGTTTACCTTGGGTCTCCCAGCCAAGAAGCGGTGGAGGCCCTGGCCACTGCTAGGAACAACAGAGCCACCTTTTACATTCTCATTCCAGCAACTAAGAAGTCAGCGGCGGCTTGGACAAGAGCAGGGGGAGGAACTGGAAGATCCCCTGTGTCCTGCCTGGATCCTGCCCCGTCCTCCCACTGAGGGTGGCGCCTCAGCTGAGGTGTCTGTGACGCAGTCCTGCGGTGATGAAATACCAGGCACCGCAGCCAAGAGGGTGGCCTGCTCACTGCGGAGCTGCCGACACAGGACACCCGGGCAGAAGGACAGAGACCTGCCTCCGGAACCCAGTCAGCACAGTTGCCCTGCAGGCAACACACCCCCTGCGGGGGAGGCCCTGCAGGGCCCCGTCCCCACGCACGGCTTCCGGAGGTGTCCAGGCCTGAACGTCCTGAAGGCCCGGGCCAGAGCTGCAGCTGCTGACCAGGGCGAGCCACCCGGGAGGCAAGGTGAGAAGAGCGAGGGCCCCTCACAGGAAAGGACGCACGAACGACCAAGGAACATGCTCGATCTAATTGGCTGTGGGAAAATGCGAATTAAAGCCAACGACCTGGGATGGCTAAAATTTAAAAAACTGACAATGCCAAGTGTCGACGAGGATCTAGAGGAATCAGAACTCGTACTCCCTACTGATGAGAGCGTAAAACGGCTCAGCCACTGTGGAAAACTGGCAGTTAAGAATGAAAACTCAACAGATGCCTACACTGGCCCAGCAATTCACAGTCCCCTAAGAGAAATGAGTATATTTGTTTACCAAAAGCAATATATGCAACCAAAACGTTTGTGCCCCCATACCACCCTGAAATAAAATAAAACAAAAAAGACATGTACTAGAATATTCACGCGGGCAATATTCACAGTAACCCCCAAAATGGGAATAGACCAGGAGTCCACCCACTAGGGAATGGACATACAAACTTGTAAATTCATCCAGGAGAACACGACTCAGCAGTTAAAGGACTGAAGTGCCAACTCGTACGACAGCAATGAAGCGTAAGAATACGACCCTGAGTGAAAGAAGCCAGACACGATACACCAAGGACGGGCACGGCAAGTTCAAAACAGGCAACACTACGGTACCTGTTTAGGGACGCCTTCTCGGTGTAAAACTATGCAGAAAATCAAGGCAAGCACATATCCCGAAGGCAGGAGAGTGGTTACACTTAGGAGAACCAGAGAGTGGGGAGGACTCCTGGGAGCTGACAACGTTCTTCTGCGGTTACGCAGGGCTTTGGCCTTCTGGTTATTTGTTATACCGTACAACATAAAATGTGTTTAATGCAACTTTCTGTATTTTATGACAAAAGAAACCAGGCTTTGGAAGTCCACATGACACAAGGGAGCCAAAATTGGGCCTCCTGGCTCCCAAAGCAGGGCTCTCCCCTGCCTCCCGAGGAAGGCTGGCCTGCCTCAATTTCCCTTCCAAAAGGCCTGGTCATCAGCGTAAGTAAGCAGGAAGAATCTCGAGTCCAGGGGATCTGATCGACCCCAGGCTCTGTTTCTTGGTCTAGTGGCCACAGGCAAGTGGCAGCCTCAGTACTCCCATCTGCACAGTGACCCCGCTGGAGGAGGGACCTGAATCCCAGGAGGGAGCAGGGTGGCACACTTCCAGCCCTGCAGCCTGGGCGGGGGCTGGAGTTTTGGGGCGTGTGTTTAACTCGCAGGGAAGAAAGCTGAATGGGAATGAAAATCCCCACACTCAGTGGTCAGCTGGGAGGGGCAGGTGACTGGAGAAGGGTCCCCAAGGGGCCTCTGACTGCACTGGTGAGGTTTTGTTTTTTTAAACAGCTGCTGAGTACAAGGACATCATTGACTAATGCTATCTTTATGCCTCAAACACTCCATGATAAATTAATTTAAAATGCCTGTAAAACATTTTTGTTTCCATCTGTCTGCCTCATGGGTCTTATTTCTCAATGTTTTCCAAACAGAGGCCCCTCAGAAACTTCACCTTACGGGGCTGGTGTCAGATCCACGAGAGATGACTTACATGCAGTGGTCACTCAGGGCAGAAGGGAGCAGAGAGAGGTGCTCAGACGACTGCCTCGTTTCAGCTGCGCAGCCTCGGGAAGGGGCTGTGTCCTTCCAAACCTCAAGTTGCTCATCTGTGAGGTTCCTGACATTTGCGGGGGTTGTATGGTCCACATGAGTTCTAGCATTCTGTCCACGCCCCTCCCTCCAGTCTGGGACCCTGCGGCCACCTGAGTCAGATCCCATCCCTCCTCTGCTCAAATCCTCCCGAGTCCCCTCGCCCAGAGTAAAAGCCAAAGTCCTTTCAAAGCCGAGTCACAGGAGGCCCAGGCCCCTGTGAGGCCTGCATGGTCCCCACTTTGATTCTCCAAAGACACTCCATTTCAGGGGCACCTGCCGCAGCCGGCTCCCTGGACAGGCACCAGGACACCCTGCCTCAGGGCCCTTGCACATGCTGCTCCCTCAGGTGGACACTCAGCCCTGCCCCACTGTCTTCAGTCTCTGCTCACATGTCCCTTTCTTTGAGAAGCCTTCCTAACCTCCCTAGACAAAGTACACCCACTCTACCTCCCCCTGCCCGTTATTTTTCTCCGTAAGCACTAATCACCACCACCATTATCGTATATATTTGCTTGTTTATCCGTTTATTATCTACCTCTCCCACTGGAATGTCAGCACAGTGAAGGCAGGGCCCCTTGGCTGTCTTGGTCACCGCGGCATCCCCAGAGCCTTACACGATGCTGGGCACACAGCAGGCACTTAGTAAGTCATCTGTGCACTGAACGCATATAGAGTGAAGCCCTGTGCCCAGAACAGGCCCAAAATAAGCCGAATTCCTTCCCTTGCCACTTGCTAAGCCCTTTTTCTCTCGCCCCCTCTCACTGACCTGGTTTCGATGCCAGACAGCACAGATGGGACAAGGGTGGCAGGTGGGAAGGCACGGATCTGCGTCTTCTGGAGCTGGAGACAGTGGGTGGGGGCTCCTTCCTGGCACTGCTGGGAATCGCTGAGGTGGTGACAGCGACCCCTTCAGGAGCCTCTGTCACCTGCCCTCTGATCCACGCCTAGCACAGCACCCAGAGGACTTGCTCAGAAGATAAACTCAAAGATGACAGGCGGCGTCTGTTTGTGGGAATTCAGAGGGAAAGGCACTAAGGGCCAGAGCAGGGGGAAACAACCCCCCGTTCGCCACTCTGCAAGCTGGTCTGGTGTGAGGGCATTTTGGTAAAACTGATAAAGTGGAAAACGTACGTGCACTTGGAGGAATTTCTCCTGCAGAAAAGGCTGGTGTCAGGGCACAGAGATTCTAAGGCGGGGATTCTCGACCTCAGCACTGGTGACATTCAGCGCTGGATAACCCCTGTTGTGGGGACCGTTCTGTGCACTGTCAGAGGTTTAGCAGCATCCCTGGTCTCTACTCACTGAAGCCAACAGAACATCCTCCCCAAGCTGTGACAATCAAAAATGTCTTCAAGCATCACCAAATGTGGGGGCTGGGGAAAGGGGAGAAACCACCCCCGGTTGAGAACCAATGTTCTAAGGGTACTACTGCTGAAACGAGGAAACCTGGAAACAACCTAAATGCGCACAAGGGTCTGGTCCTATAATGACGACTCTATTAAAAAGAACGATGCTCGCGAAGCAACACCAGGTACATTTAGGCGCTTTGTACATACAAATTAACCCTCACAGCAACCCTCTGGGGTAGGCACTTTTACTGTCTCTATTTTCAGGAGGAAACTGAGGCACAGAAGTGAAATGACTTGCCCCTGTCACTCGGTCAGAAGTACAAAGCTGGGACACGGCCCCAGACAGCCTGGCCGCACCACCACACGGCCTTGGACTTAGGCAGACCTGGACTTGGGTCCCTGCTCCCCCACTTTCTAGCCTCCCCAAGCCTCAGTTTCCTGCTCTGTGCAGTGAGGACAACAGCAGTGCTTCCATCCCAGGCCCATTCGGGGATGGGCTTAGCACAGCACCCAGCCCGTGGGGAGGGTCCGGCCGCTTATTAATAACGAAACACAACGCAGCCATCCTGAGCACAAAAACCCACCTCGCTGTGCCCACGCCGAGACCGTGAGCACTCAGCGACAGAGGCTCACTGCGCAGCAGAACTCGCAGCGTCACTCCTTTTCTGAAACACAAACATGTACACACATCACCTCAACTCTAGGATACGCTTATGTTTTCGCATGCTGACGTCGTAAGATCGATATGCACCTCGCGATCCAGGTATAAAACTCATCTAGAGCGTTCTTTTCAGAAAAGCAGTTACGGGATCAATAACGGATCTTACGGAGCACGGTGTCTTGAGGAGGTATGTGTTTCAGTGTCACATGCATAGAAGAGACAAAAATCTGAAAGAAATGTGGAAAAGAGCTAACGGAGGCAGAAGAATGAGTGTGGGAGTCAAGGTGGCCTCAGGAACCAAACCCAGAGTTTCCCATCCAAGTGCCCATCAGGCCCGACCCCGCTGAGTGGCCAAGCTCGGACAAGACTGGGTGAGTACGGGGCGCTATGGTCGTAGACCAAATGCCAGCGTTTCAAGCCCGGCTCTGCCACTCACTGTGGGACCCTGGGCAAGTCACTCTCCCTTTATTCTCCTCAGTTTCCTCCTCCGAGGCTGTTGGGAGGATCTGATGAGTTAATCCACATAAAGTCCCCCGAACAGAGCCTGAAATAGCAGCTGCTCAACACATATTAGGTATTATTATTATTATTATTATTATTGTTTCTCCTGGGGGGCTGGAGATATGGGGGACCTCACTTCCTACACTGTGTATTTCTGAGTATGTGAATTTTTACCTACTCCGCCTCCTTGGGGAGAAGGTGGCATTGCAGAGACTTTTTTTTCCTCTTAAACACCACACACTCCCCTCACTTGCCCCATCTGTCTACTTGGAGCAGGTAGGACTGGAGGCAGGATGAAGACGTGGGCAAGCTGCAAAAGAAACTGGGACAAGAATAAACACCAGAACAGACTTCCTTCTCTTCCCTGCCACCCCCGAAACATACTTTCCCCCTCACGCCACCCAGGCCTTTACAGCACCCACGAAAATCACATCAGATAGTCTAGTCTGCCTGGCCATGGGCTCCAAACATGCCAAGAGCTCCATGCTGCAGCCAGCGGGATCCTCCAAGCACGGCTCTGAACCTGTCCCTCCCCTGCTCAGGACCTCCTCCCCAGTGCCCATGGATCACGTCCAAGGCCCTCACGGAGGCTGCCAGGGCCCATCTGCCTCGGCCCCTCCCCTGCCTCATCGGTCAGCTCACCAACACACACAATTCCCCTTCTCCTGGTCCCTTGATGACTCCTTGCTCTCTCACCCCAGGACCTTTGCACATGCTGTTCCCCTTAGCTAGCACACTGTTCACCCATTACTTGCCAAATCCTCCATTCCTCAGGGAAGCCTCCCCAGCCGCCCCCCTCCCAGGAGTGGCAGACCCTCAGAGCTCAGCCTTGCCTTCCCTTCCCCTCACTAACCTCTACTATGCCTGGCCACCTACACCATTATCTGGGTATGTTGCCTCTCCTACTGGACTGGGAGCTCCACAAGGCAGGGACAGAGTCTGCCCGAGACCCATGTTCCCAGCTCCTCCCAGCAAATGGCCAGGCCCAGAGCTTTAATCGATCCCAGGTGGGGGTGGCGAAGAGCACTACAGAGCATCACAGCATCTGTGCTCAGAGTTCTGCCAAGTGAAGGTGAAACCAAAAGTCCTCCATTCATCCATCCCACAAATACGGCACCGACTCTGTGTCAGCACTGCTCTGGTCACCAGGGATGCAGGAGTAACCAAAACAGAACTCCCTGCCATTGGGGAATTCATGCAGTATATCCAAAGTTAACGATGTTATGGAGAAAATCAACATACAGAGGACTCGGCAAATGGGAAGGGGAGCAAGGGGTTCTGATTTTACACAGGACGGTCAGAGAAGGGCTCACCGAGGTGGTGACATTCGAGCAAAAGCATGAACAGATGAGCGAGCCACCTGGAGACCTGGGGAAAACCGTCGCAGGCAGAGGGAAAGCAGGGCCAGGGCGTGGCGAGCATGAGGCAGGGCAGGAGTTGAAGGGGGAGAGGCAGAGAGAGGCAGCGGGAAGGCTGGATGGGCAGGGCCTCGGGGTCACTGCAAGGGCTGGGCTGGGGAACGGCTGGCTTGGGATGCCACATGGAGGCCCCTGTCCCCAGGGCGGGGATGGCAGTCCTCAGTGAGGCAGAGGCTGTGTCAGAGCCTTCTTCTCCAGGAGCTGGCCCCAGAACAAATCCTGAAAACTGGCCTGACACTCCCCCCAGGAGGACCGCGTGTGACAGATGAGAAAACTGAGGAGAGGAAGGATTCAGTGAATACCCACAGCCAAGGAGCCTGGACCCCAACCATCCTGAGCCCCTTCCACCTCCCTCTGCCTTCGCTCCCAGGACGGAAGACAGAGCCACCTTCTCCTCGAGTGCCTCCTCCCACCCCCACAGGCCCTCCCGTACCTTCCCAACTTGCACGCCCACGCGGAGCAGGACCCCTCCAGCCTGGCTGAAGGGCACCTCCCTCACACGCCTCACACTGCATCGTCATCTGCCTGCCTCCCCCACCAGGAGCTCGGAGGCAGCGCCCAGTGGCATGAGTCTCCACCTCATCCCTAGGGCACCGACGAGCAAACGGGCGGGTCCAACCACAGTTAATATTTAGTGAGAGCTCACAAAGTACCCGGCGTGGATTAATGTTAATCTTCACAGCAATCCTATGAGGTAGATGCAATTTCTACCCCCATTCTTCAGATGAGGAAACTGAGGCCCAGAGAGAGTCACGTGCACACGCTCACACAGTGAGTGGGTGCAGGACATGAGCCGCATCTAGAGCAGAACTACCCCATAGAACTTTCCATAATGGTGAAAATGTGGTTACTGAACATCAGAACCGTGGCTACTGCAACTGAAGGACTGAACTTTCATTTTAGTGAAACTAAATAGCCACATGTGGCCAGTAGCTACCACACTGGAGCGCAGCTCTATAGAACGCCTGCTAATTAAGCGCTGGGAGCCTAAAGGCAGGAGGAGTGGAGGGGGTGACTCTCAGGCTCAAGAGGGGCCAGATCACCCCAACCTAGCTGGGAGAAGGTCCCAGCTACACCCATCCCTCCCACACCCCAACCCAGCTCACCCCAGAGAGCCAGAGCAGAATTCGGAGGCCCAAATTCACACCTTGAGTCAATTCAAATCCTGACCCTGACCCTGACCCTATCCCTTCCAGGCTGCACAGGTCACTTCTTTGAACCTCAGCTTCTCCGTCTGTAAAATGGGATCTTAATACCAATCTGGCCAAGCACATGCTTGTGTTAGCTTGTCAAAAGATCATTTTTCTGATAGCGCTGGGTTGTCACAGGAACCCAATGAGATGTGCTCCGTGCACAGCCGGGGACAGGGCCCGTGCCGGGGAAAACAGGCAGCAATTACACAAGGGTGGACTCTAACCAAGGGCCATCCCGAGCCTCACTCAGATGGAGCCATGGAAGCGGCAGCTTATGTTAATACCATCACCACTTGGTTATAAAGGAATCATCCAGAAGCATCACTTAAATGAAAACACACAACTAAAAAAACAAACTACCCACGGATACCTCCTCTCACCCCCAAGGCCTCAGGACACCAGTTTTGAGAAGCTCGGCTCCAGGGGACCCTGTCTCCAAAGCAGAATGTGGCCTGCTCCTTGCCCTTCGCCACCTCCCGGCCGCCACCCGAATCCAGCCAGTTCCCTCCCCTAAAGCCCCCAACTCCCCAACTCCCGTGTCCCTCCTCTCTCTACGATAAAGTCTTGGCTCCTCCCCACAGGCCGGGTCCTGAGCTCTGCCGCCCTAAGCCCCGCACTCCAGTGGCCTACTCTGTCACCACCACATTCAGGTGTCCCCCAGCTCGAGTGCTGTAGCCCTGCCCAGCCACACACTGTTCCCTCCCGCGGCCGTGCCAAGCACAAGCAGTCACACAGCAAACACTGCCTCTTTGCTGCCTCCAACACACTGGGTGCCTTCCCTGGTGTCCAGAACTACACATGGCACACAGTCGTGATGCAAGAAATATTTGGTGACGGAATGGAATACATAAATGACCAAAACAGCCAAGGACT